CTCTCTCTCTCTCCCTCTCCCTCTCTCAAATAACCCACCTGGAGCCCCGGTCAGATGATGTGAGGGCAGCCCTCGGGCCTGCGACACTCCCACCAGGAGACGCGCCAAGCGGGAATCAAGCAGCAGTTCCACCTGCAGGTGACCGAGATCCTGTGAACAGAAAAACAACGTCAGTTACTTAACGGGTAAAATTAAATTTCGCCCCACCCCCCCTCCTCCCTTTCGTAGAATAAGTCGAAAACTTCTTTCGAACATAACATGACGCAACCCACGCGTGGCCCACCGGAGAGTGGAGACACTGGATGTGCGCACTAAGTCAAGTAAGTTCCGAAAGGAGGGCTAACGTTTACTTCTTCCAGTTATTGAGCCATCCCAGTACTTGATTATTGTATTAGTATGTGGGACAGGAGAACTAGGGGAAAGTAAGTATGTTTATTCAGTGTTTAAGGCCATCGGCCCACATCACATCCCATAAAACACTCATTTGATAAGTAAAGTTTCCATAATGAATAAGTACAAGTTGTGCACATATCTCTTAGCATGGGTCAAACATTGCATATTTCTGTCACTGGGCTGAGTCAGGCTGGGAGGGATTAACAATTTCCTTTGATGGACAAAGTGTGAACAATAGAAAATAAAGTGAAATTCATCTTCAATTTCATGAGAGTTACACCTCTTACATAAATTAATTTCCACCGATAGAGATTGTTATTTAATGGAAGGCTATGGGTTTTTAACAAAGCTATGACTCTGCTCCAGTACCGTTGGAGGTTGGTGATATATTCAACTGTTTCTGGAATTGGAAGAAAGAAAACATTATACTTGCGACAAACTTCTTCCTCTATGTTCTGCACAGAACGATTAACAAGTCTACTTTTTACTTCACTGAAAACAGTCTACTACTTCCAACATTTTGAGAACACCAGGCATATCCAAAACCAGGGGAAAATTAAGTGTAACATGGATGGACAACATGAAAACATGGATTGGCCTGAATATAGCAGAATGTGTCAACGGCAGCTCGCGACCT